TTCTTCATGTGTTCAATACTTTTTCCCTGTGCCATTCCACATTATTACAAATAACTTCATTTCAGGACATTTTTTGAATTCTTTTATGTATGGATCATTTGGGTTGTTACCGACATCTGGTGAAAATTTCATGTCATTAGCACCTCTAGTAATATATTTACTGAGAAAAATGTTGACGTGTTCAATACTTATTTTACCCACTGTATATAGCACCAAGTCACAACAAAATTCATCCCAGGTCTCTGTACAAAAACAAAAAAATCTTAGGAAGCCAGCAGATTGTTTCTGTGTGTCAATTCAGGGGCTGCTTCCTCATGAGTGTGCATTTGTCAGCTGCTTACGTCACTGCCCCACACCGAGCATTGTCCCAATTCGAAGGCTCCTCATCATGTAGCCGACAAACTCTCAAAAACCGAGCATACATCTGTGTATCCTCACCGGCCGAGGATATCCCAGGATTCAATGCGCAGGCAGCAAAATACTGTAAACAGAGAAACCAAGACTGTGGATTTTTAATTTTTTTAACGAGTCTACATGTTTTGGAAATTCACCACGGACCAAAGAATTTGTTTTTAAAAGTAAGTTTTGCAACTTAGCTGATGAAATTCATGCTGCAATAAGATGTTAAATAAAAGAAAATGCAACTATAAGTGCCAATGCTGGAGCTAAACCTGAATTATTAATGATTTTTTATTTATTTACGTGTAACTTTTTAACTGTGAATTTACTCTTCCAGTGAAAAGATATGTAAATACATGTCCCAAAGTCTTTTCAGTCTGATATGAAACTGATCACTATGGTAATGGTAGCACATGGTCACGCAAACTTACGTCAAGAGACGGTTAGACCGTCTCGTTTTAAATTCAAATTCAGTTTATTTATATAGCTCCAAGTCACAACATACGTTGTCTCAGGGCACTGTAAATAAAAAAAAACAATCTAAAGAAGAAGCCAGCAGGCTGCGTTGAATCACTTCATCACAGTCTCCCATCCTGAGCAAACGGTGGAGAGGAAAAACTCCCTGCTAATCAGGAAGAAACCTCCAGCAGAACCAGGCTCAGGACAGGCGGTCACCTGCTTCGACCGGATTTTACAGCAGTTTTAAGCAGCCTACCCAGACTGGGAAGGACGTGGCCCATGTGGGCTACGTGCCCATGAGGACCCAGAACATGAATTGAGACACAGCCAGTGCTGACTCACTTCATCCCAGTCTCCCATCCTGAGCAGCACATTGGTGACAGTGGAGAGGAAAAACTCCCTTTTAACAGGAAGAAACCTCCAGCAGAACCAGAACCAGGCTCAGGACAGGCGACCATCTGACCCAGTGGAAAAAAAACACAATACTGATAGAAATAATTACAACAAGCATGTAGAGGAGAGTGAGTAAAGACAACAGCAGAGTGAAGAAATGTTCTCAGTTTGTGCTCCAGCAGTCTAAGTCTATAGCAGCAGAAATGAAGAATAATTCAGGAAACCTAAGTATAACTATAGGATTTATCAAAAAGGAAAGTCTTCAGTCTAATCTTAAAAGTAGACAGAGTGTCAATCTCACAGACAGAAACTGGAAGTTGGTTCCACAAGAGAGGAGCTTGATAACTGAAAGCTCTGCCTCCCATTCTACTTTTAGAAACTCGAGTAACCACAAGTAAACCTGCAGTCTGAGAGCGAAGTGCTCTGTTAAGGCCGTGTCACACTAGATAACTTATGCCAACTTATGAAACATTTTTATGTCTAAATTGTTAATAAATTTTATATAATTGATAATTTGTTCTATTTACATTATGTACATGACAAAAAGAAGCTTCCTGTTGATTTTTTCAATTCCATCTTCAATGTAGACGTCTTTAAAATGTTCATAAGTTGGCAGGAGTTGTCTAGTGTGACAGGGCCTTTAGAAAAATATGGAAACAAATAGGTAAGATATGATATTTGATGAAATAAGTTGGAGCTTGGTTGTTGAGATCTTTGTATGTTAGTAGTAAAATTTTAAATTCTATGATGAATTTGACAGGAAGCCATATCAAGCTGCTTATTTAATGTTTGGTTTTGGTTGAGAACCTACAGATGCATGGTTAATTACCTTAACAGCTTTGCTGTTGGTGCAAGGAATGGGGCTCTGAGGAGCAAAGGTTGGGAATCACTATCCAAAAGAAGGTTTAAATGTTTTCCTTGTTTCCTCCAGGTATTTGCGTGTCATCTACCTGGGAGTGCGGAGTCGTCAGAGTGCTGAAACAGAACACTGGCGTTACTACTGGAGGATGGTGTACGAGTTCGCAGATGTCAGCATGTTGCACTTGTTGGCCACCTTCCTGGAGAGCGCTCCACAGCTGGTTCTGCAGCTGTGCATCATCATCCAGACACATAAGCTGCAGGCTGTACAAGGTAACATTACACACACACACACACACACACACACACACGCACACACACACACCTCTATAGTTGCAGAAACTTCAAATGAAAAGTGTTTGGTGTTCAAAGATCTGAACATTAAGAAGCTGTCCATCAATACTTTGTCTTATATCAGAAGCATGATTTTATTTTTCAAAATGAGTAGTTCATCACCACACCTTTTTTTTCTAAAAACTCTGTATCTATGAGTTTTAACTATAAAGAACATAAAGTCAAACATATTACAATCATTAACGTGCTTCTGAAAAACCTTTGAGAACACGCTCAGATCACTGTATGGATCTAATGGAGCTAATCCTTTTTCTGGAACATATTCTGTAAAATCTCATTCTTGCTGGATGAAAAGCCTGCTGCACTCTCAATGATCTGTTAAAATGTGACTGGACTGAGACAAATTTAATCAAAAATCGACACAAAGTTGCGAGAATTTTTTATTTTATTTTTTGCTTTTAAATATTTGCACCCCACGATAGGCCTGTCGCGATAGTCAATAAATCAATTAATTGCACGATAAATTTTTTTGAGGTTGGTAAAAAAAAATGAGGACGATAAGTTTTATTTTCCTGCTTGTTTGTTTACTTTCTCTCTCTCCCTCTCTGTGCTCCGCTGCACAGGAGCTCAGCTGACTCCTCCCCTCCTGTTTTCTTAGTGTGGGAGGAGTGAACTCTCGCGTTAGCGTGAGAGCTCGTAGCAATAACAAACTAAAGAAACGTTTCAAAGCAGAACGCGGCTGCTGCAGTGTCGGAGCACTAGAGCCTGAATTTCGCTGCGGAGGGAGGGAGAGAGAGAGAGAGACAGAGAGAGAGAGAGAGAGAGGGAGGAGGAGGAGAAGGGGTGGGGGCTGAAACTCCCCCAGACCCGCGACAAACTCGTCAAGACTTTACCTGTAGCTCCCAAAAATAACAGGAAACTTAAACGCGAGATCTGTGTTTTAACTAAACACCCAAAAAAAAAAAAACCTGTAGCTGTCCCAGAAACTCATGAGGAAACCTCTGAACTGTCTGATTTCCTCCCTGCAGCGTTCTGACTGTCCCCTCCTC